AGAGTCGGTTGTGATATGGAGGAGTCGTGCAAGCTTCGAGTTCACAAGTTTTAGGCGGAGAGAGGGTGCTGGGAGGGGAATAACCGTTTGGTTGGCTTTGCTCCGTCGTTTCCTGGGGCTAATCGTTGTTTTTCCGAGGGTAAACTGCATTCTGAAGACCTAAGAAGGAGGGTACATGGAGGTGAGGCCCAGATATGGATAGCACGGGGGAAAGCGCGCAGGGAAGAGCGCACCTTTCTTTGTCGTCAATCCGTTGTTTCCAACTGGTTCTACTCAAACCCTTTTGCGTAGAGGCGTTTCCTTCCGTTTCACGTCTACAGAGCGCGTCCAAAGTGCGAAATCCGGTTTTCAAGGTCGGCTGCTTGAGGTGCGCATGAAGCACAGGACAGGATACAGAACAACTTCGAAGACGTTTCTCTGAGTCTGCAGCCCTAGAAGCACCTAAAAGCATCGTAGTACTTCTGTTAGCTTCTGCTGCTGTGCTATAAGCGATTTGTTTTGCTCACCGTATAGGCGCGAGCAGGTCGTGGACGGTGAAAAGACAGAGACGCGCGTTTACGGCACGGTGAGCAGGGCCTCTAAGGCCGATTTCCCACGTCAAATAAACCCACCCTCAAGGCCTTGTTCGGGCCGTCACAATTGCTGCCTAAGGTGGGAGATGGGCGACACGAAACACAGATCAATCCTTCTATTGGCTTAGTATGTGTTTTGGGTTGACTCCCATCGGCCCGAAGAGGGCATCATTTTCTGGGAATGCAGGTCGTAAGATCGGTTCAAGATCGGTTCCCAACTTCGTGGCAACCACCAAAAATACTCTCTATTTATAGATCACCTTGACACTCTGAAAATTGAAAGTCAATGCCTCACAAACGAGCATCAACTCTTGACTCGCTCACTGCCCGAGTCCTATCTTGCGTGGCTCCCTAGGAGCTATATTGCCCATGGAAGGACGAACCGATGCACAAGTGGGGTATTGATCCTAAATTCTACATCACGAATCTGCATTTGCATCACATTTTTGACAGATTCTGATGCATTTGATATCGCTGAGAGATATCTTCGAGGACGTTTTCGCGCTCAAGACGTTGAAAGTATCCCTTCTTTCTTACCCTCATTCGCTTGTTGTGCGCGAGTCTCCTCCGTACGCCTCAGTGACACTTGGTCCTGACGGTTCGCAGAATGATCTCGCGTCGTCCATTCCTTTTGTGAGTCAAGCGTTGAGGCGAAAAACTTTTCCCGCCCACGTTCTGACTTTCATTCACACTAGTATCCTTTCCTTTACTCTTAGACATTCAGCGAGTTTTGGTATCACCAAAATACCGCCACAAGCAAAACCCAACGACGTGGTTACGTTACTATCAACACGCCTGGAGATAGATCCAACATCCTTTATCTATGCTGCAGCGCCGACCTCGTATTCTAATTCCGAGGATGGCATGAACGTTGGAACGGCAGAGGTAGAGAAAGAGATGGGCACGATGGAATCAACGTCTTCCAAGGACGACGGATACGATACCGTGTCTCAACTTGGCATTTTCCTCTCCTCGAAGATCAGGGGAATCTTCGCTGTGGATGCATATGATACCGAAGCCCTATCAACACCAGAACTGCAGAGACGTGGGGAGCCTCCATGTGGTGTGTAGGTCAAAGTTATGATTTTCAGTCGAAGCGAGGGATAGTGGTACTCAATGATCTCCATCTTATCAGAACTGTCGGTACGCATGAAGATGTGCTACCCCCTTGTCAAATTAGCGGCGGCGGCGGACTTTTCGGAAAACCGACTGGATCAACAGGAGATGTCAAGGGACCCGATACCCCCGATAACTCCCCCAATAACTCCCACGATGACTCCCACGATGACTCCCGTTCCACCCTTTCCCCTCTCGCCCTTACTACCCCTACTGTCCCTATCAACCCTGCTACCTCTACTACCGTCGCCGCTACCACCCCTCTAGCTTCAGGTGGCCAAGATGGCACTCCCAACGACTCGTATGTGCGCCGTTGCCTTCTTATCTGACTAGTTGATCAGATCACTGCATTCCTAGATCTCATAGTCCCGCGTCCGATTCTTCACCTGCGTCGATACCAGTAACTGGATCTACGCCGTCTACTCAAGATCCCAACTCAATCGGTGGGGGGAGTGCGCAGCAAATCTCGTGAGTCAGACTCATTCGCATCCTTTGACTATCTGCTGACTCTCGTTATCATCGGCGGTAGGAAACCCACCAGAGCAGGGCTCGGGTCTGGCCAAACAGGTGGTAATAGTAGCCCTGCCAATCTGGCCAATTCAAGCCAGCCGCCTCCGCCAGCCACACCCACTGAGACTAGTACTACGCCTCCAATTGGCACTCCCCCTATAACACGTAACCCAAACATCGGCACGATTATCGGTCCAGTCCTGGGAGCTTTGCTTCTCCTGATCTTGGTCTTACTCGTGATCTTGTGCTATCGTCGCCGAAGGAAACATCGCCAGAATAGAACGTGGAAACCATTCGGGAGAAACATAATCTTTTTCAACGACAAAATGGTCAACCGAACGGACGACGAGAGTATAATGGAAGAAACGCAAAAGGCTCATGGGGATGATCGAGGGCTGTTCGGATACTCCATCTTCCCTTCCAAGGCCGCCCGCCAGAAGGATACCGATGGTATGAGCTCAGTCGACTCTCTCACTTCAGATCTTCCACTCAGCACGGCATATACGTACACGATCTCGGAGTATGATAGTGACACTAGCTCGACAATCACTGCGGGGCTGTCTGAAGTATCCACCGATGTCAAAGGTGGTGGCTACGAAGCTGGAGCCCGGACAGATAGACAGATGGAAATTGAGGGGAATATCTTCGAGTTGCAACGGGAAATCATAGAGTTGCGTGCGGCTGGGGCCGATGCTACAGACGTGATGAGGCTCAGGGAAAGGATTGAAAGGTTGAGGCAGGTTCAGGGAGAGAAGTGGGCGATGGAGGTGACTGACGAGGTTCCGCTTGAGATGGTGCACTGAGTCAGTGCTAGTGGTTGAGAAGGCTCAATTGGCACAGAAACATACGTGACTTTATCTACTTAAATTTATTTACCAACGAACGGTATGTATTGGGGATTGGAGCTATCTTTTTGGTAGAACTAGCTTTCGTCATTCTTTCACCAGCTAAAACGAGTCGTTATCATACGGTACATGATTCTTCAAATCCTTCGCCCAATTATAGATCCCATCAAAGGACCTACACATATGCTGGGCCGCCTTTTGACTTTCAATGTCAGTCGAGTTGGTCTCAGAGTTCCAGCGGTAGATTATTGGGCTGACGTCTAAATAGATTACATGGCGATAATCAACGATATGAACTTGAGAAAGAAAAGGAGAAAATGAACGCACCCGAAGAACACAAAATTGCCTGCCTGAGGTGCTCGATACAGTGCTCGACATGCGAAAACTCGAGGAGTGGATAGGACTCTGGGTGAACGGCTTTTCTCAGCATGTCCTGAGGTGAGGTTTAGTAAAACAAATCACAACACATGTGAGGCTTTGGGACGAATCCACACACCAAACAATGAACCTGATGAAATACGTCGAGCGTCAGGACGTACTCATCCGGATCGCTGGTGCTTGGCTCTGGAAGTCCGAGATGCTTGGCATCCGAGTGTGAGATACGTGTTACAGATGCTTTAGATTCGAACGAGAGATGAAGGTTAGACGGAGCCTGACGAAACAACCTTGAATGGGATCTTACAGCGATACAAATTCTCCCAACGTTCATCCATCTCTGGAGACGGGGTACCCGTGTATTCACTCGTTCCCGTGGTGAAAGTGACCGCCTGATACTCGATGAGGTGGTTTACAGGCGCTGAGAATTGTATAAGTTCACAAAGAAGATACCCACTGGATCGAAACGAGAGGAAACTGTAGAATTAGGACGTACAGTAAGGTGACTGAGGCTCTTGATGTTTCCATTCCGCCCCTCGAAACCATAGCAGAGCGACCGAGATTGCGTTCGAGAGCGAGAGAAGCGTAAGTAGGAGAATTAGCCCCTTAGGGGACGCAGAACGAGCTGCAGAGTGCTCGCGCCGACCGTCCTCGTAGCCTGGCATGAGGGAGGAAAGGTGTTGTTCTTTGTCGTTCATCCCGAGTGCAAAGTTAGGGAGGAAAGGCTGAGTCGTGAAGCGGTCTGAACGATCGACTTTAAGTACTAACAAGATTGGTAGGTGGCTAGGAGAGCTGTGGCCGAGTACCAAGGAATCAGAATAAGCTACGAGGACACAATTTAACGGATATGAGTATAGCTCAGGTCATGAAGTCACGAAAACCCCTAGAAAGCGCACCTCACCATCGAGAAATGAATCAGCTGAGACGGACAATGAACGAAATACGAGTTGTGGCGTTGGTGTGCACGCTGAGGTATGCTGATAAGCCCATTCCGGTGAGACCGATCTATGCAATGACTCTCCGGCGAACTCTTTTGCTTACAAGAGAGTCTAGAGTTTAAGGGTCCGTATGCCGCTATCTCCATGAGGATGAACAGACTACACAGGATGCTGTCACCAACAACTGGTGCAGCGTAGAAAAAGGTCAATTCCGATGCGGGGAATCGAACCCCGGGCTGCTGTGATCAAATTCCGCTTACGGCGGCCCCTTGAAAGACAGCAATGTTAGCCACTACACCACATCGGATTAGTTGAGCAAGAAAGTCTCAAATCATACCCTCATCCCGACGTGAAGTCGGTGCCGTAATCTTTAATCTCTTCCTTTCGAACTACGACCAATAATTCCTTCGCGATGTTCACAAACACCTCAAGATCCGCTTACTTGAATCTCGGACAGAACGCCGCCTTTTTGTCAAATATCCTTTGTAACGAGTTTGCCGGTTTAGTGACGCCATGGTGAAGGAAAACATCGCAGATGAAGACTGTACCTGTACACTGAATAGAGAGAAAGGGCTTTCCGAGCAATTGAGGGCATGAGATGTTACATGGTGAGTCTTCCCGTGCGGCGATATCGTATATGCCCTTGATGAATGGATGTTATTCACCTTTGATAGGCTACGGAACATCCCCAGATGAGCCAACACTGGAAAGCCCTCTTCGAACCTCTTCGAACGACCAGAGTTTCGTTCTTTCACATCTCCAGGCACTGTCATCAGCATCTACCCAACCCTCTCGGTATTGCAGTGCATCCGAGAACAATGGCTTAGTAGTGACTCAAGGGTACGGCGATGGACTACCGATACTTTTCATCTTGATAGGAATTCGGTCGGTGGC